AGATGGAAACTTTCACTGAGAAGGAAGGATGTAAGGGCAGAGCGCAAAACCAGTGTTGAATAGAAAACGGAAGACGCTGAGAAAAAAAAATCATTAGGCAAGATTCATAAGAAGTTGGCTATATTAAGATCCATCTGTCTCAAATAGCATCTGTTCTTTCTACAAGGTCTATAAGCAGCTCTGTAGACAGAGCAGAAGCACTGGGTTTGCAGGATTGAAAAAGAGCCCAGAAGTACATGGCAGGTACACCATCACCTGAGTGACAGAGGCAGACCATCAGAGTATTATCGAGCACATTGAGAAGGAAAGTAACTATGAACTCTCCCTGGGGAGAAATAAAGGAAAAATATAGACCTGTGTCTACTAGTAGCCAGCAATTCTTTCTTCCCTAGCTCAGGAGTATCAAGATAGATTTGGACAACTGACCTAATCACTTTCTAAATGCTTCAGATGATCTGGCATCAAAAGGTCTGCAGACTTATCTCAGAATCCAAGATCCTTCACTTGCCATAAGGAATTCTCCAGCACTGTCAATCAATGGATGCTCCCAGTTGGAGTAAATCTCTCTCAGCATGCCTTGCGCTATGGTAAGGCATTATACTGTATTTGCTAATAAGGCATAAAAGGATGCAACATGGTTCCAACAGAAAATTAGTTCTTATTAATGTACAAATTAGAGTTGTCAGATTTAGCAAGTAAAAAGTCATGAGCCTGTTGAATTTGAATTTCGTATAAAGTCTTTAGTAGATGTACACCCTGTGTGAAATTTGAGATGGACTTACAGCAAAGCACATTCATTCCTTAGCTGAGGTTCAAATTTCACAGATCTGTGTTGTGCTTTTTGTTTTTGTCTCATGTGATTTTGAAATGGGGCCTCTCTCACTAGACAGCCTCTACTGGCCTCAAACCCACAGTTCTCCTGCCTCAAACTTCTAAATTCTGGAATTAAAGAATTAAAGGCATACACCACCATGCTTGGTTTCTGTGTCTGTGTGGATGGATGGATGGATGGATGGATGGATGGATGGATGGATGGATGGATGGGTGGATGGACAGATAGACAGGCAGATAGATAGTAACTCTGGTAAAATATCTTCAGCCAATCCAGAACCTCTCCAAAAATAATCATCAGCTGGCCAAACTTCAAAGAGTTGAGAACATAATCTGGGTTGTGGTGGCACATGTCTTTAATCCCAGCTCTCTGGAGGTAGAAGGAGGCAAATCTGTGAGTTTAAGGTCAGCTTGGTCTACATAGTGAGTTCTCAGTCAGCTGGGGCTATATACAGGGAGATCCTGTCTCAAAAAGACCTCCCCCCAAAAATATAAGAGTTGAGAAATTATCAGTAAGGGTTTGGATTAATACTTGATAATGACATATGATAGTGATCTGAAATAATGTATTTTAAGGTTCCTTTCTGAGGATCATTTAAAAAATATCTTATTTGATTGCTAAGTAAGTAGTGAGATCACTCCAAACACGTCTGTCTTTGAGATTCAGGCATACATAATCCTCTCTCTCTCTCTCTCTCTCTCTCTCTCTCTCTCTCTCTCTCTCGGAGGTGTGGCTTGTGTGATATATGTATATGTGCATGTTTATGTATTTGTGCTTATGTGCATGGGGGATGTGTATGCACGTATGTATGCACATGTGCAGAATGCACAGGTTGACATCTGGTATCTTCCTCAGTGGCATTCTCTCTTATTATTTTAGAGCATCTAGAGCTTAGTCATTTGGCAAGACTAACTGGCCCACAAGCCCCAGGGGTCTCCTGTCTCTCTCCAGTGCTCAGACTGTAGGCACACTAGCTTTTTACATGGGTGCTAGGGATCTAAACTCAGGTCTTTAAGTACTTTACCAACTGAACCATCTCCACAGTTCCTCATAGAATCTCGAATTCTTATTCATGAACTCAGGATGGAAGGACTTCTGGCACATGGGAAGAAAGCTGTAGTCTGATCAGATATAAATGAGAGTTCTACCTCCTCTTAAGATATTTCTGGAGCAGACAGAGCTGATGATGCTATTGAGTTTTCAGGGGGAAAGACAAGAATTTCCTTTCCTGGCTCTCCATTCCCAATATCCTGGGGTGGCTCTTTGAATTCTCTGGAGAAGCCTACCTTCTTGAGCTGTTGCTGAGAAAGGAGCAGCCTGCCAAAGGAAAGGTCTTCCTCATAAAACAGCCAACCATGTGCAGCAATTTCATTTGCAAAGATTTCCTGCTGTGGCTAAATAGTGTGGCTGCTTGGTTTGTTATTTAAAAGAGTGACCCTAGTGAGACCAGCGCTCTGAAGAGGGGCAAGTCTTATTTCAGCATTACTAAAGAGAGCTAGGACAGAGAGTGCCTAATTGAATGCAAGGGAGGTCTCCAGACATCCATGCCTGGTGATAGTACCTCAGGCCTGAGGCTCCCTCTTTATAAACCCTGTTAGTTAACCCAAGCCTTTCTGGACCCCAATAGAATAATTTATTAAAATATCCCTAGCAGACACTAGGGATTGGAGCCAAAAAACATCTAAATCTCTGCTTGGGAGAGAAAGGGGAAAAGAAGACAATGAACATGAGTGAGAGATGAAAGGATATGGGTCTGGAAAGCCCAAAAGGTATGTCCAGTGGGTAAGTAGACAGATAAGAGAAGGAATGTCAGGAAATGGGGCAGGAGGGACCATCCACCAGCTGGATAAGCACGGAAGGCTGAAGATGTTCCTTGATCTGCTCAGCACAGAAATCAGGTGACAGTACACCCTGCCTGCTCTGTGCTCTTTCACTTCTCCCTGGAGCCTGCAGCTTGGTGAGCAGTCTACACTGCATAGTCCTTGCCTCATTGCTTCAGGTCAGCCACATCTGAGGTGATGGAGCTGGACACACACGTTCATCATTTGGTTTTGTGGTATCTTCAAGACAAGGTCTTACACTGTAGTCCAGGCTGGCCGAGAACTCACTATGTAGCCCAAGCTGTCCTCCAACCGGCACAATGCTCCTACCTCAGCCTCCAGGGTGGCATGGGCTTACTTGACAGTGACCTGAGAGAAAAGATTCTAGACAAGGATTGGGGAGAGCAGTCTTCATGAGGGACCACAGGGGTCTCTCAGGCTTAACAGAGGAGGAACAAAAGTTAACCCAATGGTGGTCTCAGATGTATGGTTAGAGCTCAGCTTCCAGAGATAACATGTATACTCTAATGTAAGATGAGTCAAGCCAGAAACAATACCTGAAGATTGCTGTTTACCCAGGGGAAGGTTATGACAAAAGCAGGTAAGCCTGAACCATACTCACAGGCTTAAAGGTAGCATTCCCTTGACTGGTGCTATTTGACAGATGTTTTAGTCTCAATAGTCCTACATTATTAGCTTTAGTTTTAATCAGAAAATACTTGACGAAACAGCCTGAATCAGGTTTGAACTGAATAGTGAAAATAATTGGAGAACGTATGAATCTACAGAACTGAGTCAACACTGTGGGTTTTTTGTCGTTGTTTGTTGTTGTTTTGTTTTTGATACAGGATTTCCCTGTAGCCCAAGCTGCCCTGGATCTTACCATACAGACCAGGTTGGTGAAATCTATCTGCCTTTGCCTCCCTTTCTCACTCAACCTGGCCCCTACAGTGTGGTTTTAAAGGGAGTCTTATCACCGTGGGAAGAGGAGCACGACAGGAGAGTTCCCTTCTGCACAGTGAATATTCTCTGAGTCCTGGAGGACTTTGCTCATTCCCTTCCCTGTGCCACACACTGTGTTAGAATGAGGACAGAAGGCCGCTTCTTGCTCTTATGGAACTTTCACGGAAGGGATGTGATACAGCACGTAATTGTCATAGTTTGAAGGGTGGCTTAATTTGGAAAGTATAAAACTCACTCAAGGCATATAACAGGGTGATGTCAGTCCAAGGCTTAGAAGAGGTTCTCAGGGGAAGTGATACCAGACAGAAGCTTAGGAATGACTAGCACATGGTAGGAAAATGATGTGTCTATTAGTGGGAAGGGGCATGCTGTGGGGTGTTCCAGACAAAGCCTGGAAGACGGGAGATGCAGCTCAGCTGGCAGAATGCTTCTCCGGTATTCCCGAGGCCCTGCCTTCAATGCCCAGAACCACATAAACTGGGTGTGTGCCTGTAATCCCAACACATGAGATATGGAAGCAGATATGGAGTCTTGACACTTCTAGGTCATCTTCAACTACCTATGAAGTTTCATTCTAGGCTATAGGATGAGACATTGCCAAGTGTGTGTGTGGGGGAGAGGGCAAAGGAGCTTGCAGTAAGACCAGATTCATGTTCAAAACACTAAAGCATGCTCAGCACTTCAGGAAGGTGATATTCAAGTGAGAGAATGGCATAAGACAGTTCTGCAGGGACGGGCAGGGCCCATGCTGCGTAAGACTTGATAAACCATATTAAGGAGATTGTTCTTTATTAGAGCAGCAATGAAAAGCCACTGAAAAGCATTAAGCAGGCATGTGATGAAATCACATTTTCATTGTGGTTCACTCTGGTTACAATACAGATTGAAAAGAAACAGAACTAGGTGTAGGGAGATAATTTAAGAGTCCCTGTAGGGATGGGTAAGAAGAGATGGACTGAAATGTGGTAGGAGATGAAGACAGACAAAGGCATTCAGAGGTATTGAGAGATTACTTCATATTTCCTAGTAACCAAATACTTAGGGATCAGAGAGGCTATGCAACCTAGAATGACCATGAATTCTTGATTCACCTGCCTCCCCCTCCCACATGCTGGGATTACACGTGTACATCATCCTACTTGGTTCTATGTGGTGCTGGTGATAGAACCCAGGCATTTTGTACATGATAAGCAAGCACTCTACCAACTGATTTGTTATTTCTTAGAACAAGAAAACATAACCACAAGGTCTAGCCTCAAACACTCTGTCCACCATGACCAAGTACCATCTTAAGGCCAGCCTTCACCTGCTCCATCCTTCACCTCCCATCCCTGCTTTTGAAGCTCTCCACTGGACCCCACCATGTGATGTCACTCCACACTTACCTATTCAGCATGTTAGACTGGTAGATTCTCTTCTCGTGGGTGTTGTAACAACTGCTCTTGGGCTCGGGGATGAAGCTATGTTCAGACAGCATGTCGGAGGCAGCAGTGGTGATGATGGCAATCCCATCTCTCACTCTGGCAGGAAGGCCATAGTCCCATTCATCGTATGACACAGAGATAAGGCCCGTGGGAAACTCTGAGGGCACCGTGTCTGTATCCCCTGCCACCAGACTAGGCACAATCCATGTGTAGCCATAGCCAGTCAGTCCAACTGAGTTCGCTACTTCAAAGATGTAGGTGGCTTCTTCCTTGGTACAGTAAAGAAGAATGATGGGGCTTTGAAGTTTCTTGAGCTGGTTCTGGATCTTAGAATCACCATCATCTAGAGACATGTCTAGTAAGAGGACTTCCTCCAGCTCCCAGCCCACGAAGCTGTTCTCGATGGTGCTGCGGATCTTGTTCACAAAGTCCTGGTAGCCAGGGAAATAGGTGGTGACAATAGAAAAGATGTACCAGTCGTATTCTTCCATGATGTTGAGCATCACGGAAGCCTGCTGTTCGATTGACGGGCCAAACTGGAAAAACATGGAGGATTCATCCTAGAGAACATGTGGAAGAAAAAAAGAGAAATAGACAATCAGACCAAAGATGGTCATGGAGTTCTCAATCAACTGGATATAAAAGTTTGTGTTCATCATTTGTTTTTTTCATATCATACCTTTCATTCTAAATGATTCAGAAAGATTTAAAACTTTTTTTAAAATTTCAAACATTTACAACAAATTCATTCCTAAAAATATTTCCTGGAATTTAGAGACCAAAAATAAATAAATAATAAATAAATAAATAAATAAATAAACAAACAAATAAATACACAGGTCTGTAAGTCTTTCTGTCGGAAATCCTTGAGATCAGAGCCTAAGATGGCTCCTCAAAATGAAATATGTTAATATTTCTACAGTAAAATGTGAAGACTCAAAGTGCAATGAACAGTCTGTGAGGCTTCGTGCAAGCTCTGGTTAGATCTGTAGTTAGATGACTTGTGCTTGTGATCACACACACACACACACACACACACACACTTTTTCAAGGATTTAAAATTCTGAGTTGTGACTATATATCATTTAATATCAGAGTAAATGGATAATCTACAGTACCATTGATTTGCCCTTAGACTTATCTATAGAGGTAATATAAGCACACTGGCCCAGAATGTTTCTGATACTTAGCTATGGATACCGAGGAGACTATGTATCTGTTAATAACGCCCTCCTCATATACACATACACAATACTGAAGATTGAGTGTTGGGTCTCACACATGTGACATACAAACTCTATCACTGAGCTAAATCCCCATTTCTCTGCTCCTCTCTTTCTCCATTAAAAAAAATTCTGATATAGAGTTTTATAAGTTTTTGCAGCCTGGCTTGAATTCACTCTATAACCCCAGCTGACTTGGAAGTTGGAACCCCCCTGCTTTGGCCCTCTGAATAGCTGAGATTACAGGACTGTATCATCTCTTGATAGCACTATTAATTTAGCTTGCTCTCTAACTGCTGCTCAGATAATAAGATATACAAGCTAGAGTAAGTCTCAAAACAGTATCTCTAAGTCATATGCTAAAAGTAGTAATGGCTAGACACTTGTGCACTGCTTGATTTTAAAGCAACCTAGAGAATAGGGATTATTTTCCAATCCTTATAATGCCACATTAGTATATAGTATACATACAGTGTGTACACAAGCACACACCGCACATACACACACGTGTATACACATGCACTTCCAATTTGGAGCAACTTCCTCCTCCTTCCTTTTCAGGGAGAAGCCGTTTTAAAAGTTTCTCCCCTTTTAAGCTGCATTTTACCTGCTGTTCTGAGATGTTAAGCCCTATATTTTATCTCTACCTATAGCCCCAAGAATTTGAAACCACAAAATGAACACCCTCTCAACCTTGTCCTTCTCTCTCAGACCATTTCCCTCTGATTTGCTCCTGGCTAATGGCATCACTTTTCCTGGTCTGTGCCCCCCATCTTCCATCTGATGGCTCCTGTCCATTTTAAAACAATCTAGGTTAACACAATTGTCTCTCTCTCTAGGTCAGTTCCTTCCCCCTGGAACAACTAGAGCTTCAAAGTATAGTTCCAAGCGACCAAGAAATTGGGCCTTTAAACAAAATTATATAGCGATTTCCTAGTGCAGAAATATATTCTTATACAGCTGAGAAATTGCTAAGTATTTCTTGAGTGTCAACTATTGAAGAAATACAGGCTTGGAATATCCTACTTGTATCTCAAGACCCTGATTGGCCAATGAGAGCCACAGCATCTCTGTTCTCTAGGGTAACATTTGATTCTTATGCTCCAACTTCTCACAGTTCCCACATCCTATCCAGAGCAAAAGAGGAGATGCTTGCTCAGTGGGGTGAGTCTTCCTACTAATGGTGAAAGGCTGCTTTCTGTGGCTGCCTCCTCTGGACTTAAACATACAGTCAAAGACAATCTCCAAAGATGAAGAGAAGTCAGAAAAGTAAGAGGAGGAGGCAGAAAGGACAAGTAGAGGAGGAAGGGGAATTAGTTCAGACTAGAATAATCAATGGCAGCACATGTAGCCATTCAAACTCTGGCTAATCCCTGTTTCCAGAGTTCTATAACACAAGGTAAAGATGGTGTGTTGAGTTGTAGGTTACAGTTGTGGACTAAATTCTGTCCTTCTCTGTACATAAATTCTATCCTCTAAGGTGATGGTGTTAGAATGTGTTGTCCTTTGAGAAATGATGACATCATGGAATAGAGCACTCAGAGATGGGATTCGTATCCTTATAAAGGAGACCCCAGAAATCTGTCTTGACCCTTCCACTTGGTGCCAACACACAAACTGCCATCTATGAACCCAATTGTGTGTTCCCATCAGACTCCAATTTGCTGACATTTTGACCTTGGATTCTTCAGTCTCTATAACTGTGAAAACTAACTTGTGTTTTTTATAAGCTGTCTGCTTTATGGTATTTTTTAAGAGCAACTCAAAGGGACTAAGATAAGTGGGAATCTGAGACAATGAAGCCTAATTATTCGAACACTTGTCAGGAACCCACAGAGAAACACAAAAAAGAAAACAAAAAGGCAGCCCAGTGACAGAACCACTTGTCCAGAGTAGCTATTGCTATAAGGAGATAACTATTTGCTTTTCTTGTTGTACTTCAAGCTAAACAGGATCTTGGAGAGATCAAATGGGAATATTATCCTGTGAGTTTCCACAAGTTCAATTATTAGATAAATCAGAAAACTTCCAAATATACCTTACGATCTACCAGGCTTGGGATTAAGGAGATCCCAGCTGCAAATGAAGTAAGTGGACCTGCTCTATGATGAGTGAACAGAATGTATCACAAGGAGATTATTGAATTTACACAAAAGTCCCCTGTATATTGGAGCCATAACTGCCTCAAATACACAGCTTTGAGGAAAATTAAACAATTGATGTCCATCTCAGATGGTCAATGCTACTAACATTGACCATAAAGAAAAACATATCAATTAAATATCAAGCTTACACTCCCTTTTCTTGGTCTTCTTTTTTTAATATTTTATTTATTATTTTTATTTTATGTGTATGTGTGTACTGCCTGCAGGTAGGTAAGTGCACCCATGTCATGCAATGTCCATGCAGGACAGAAGAGGTTGTCAGATCCCCTGGAACTGGAGTTACGGACAATTGTTAGCTGTCATGTGGGTGCTGGGATTCGAACCCAGGTCTTTTGCAAGAACAATCAGTGTTCTTAACCGCTGAGCCATCTCTCCAGCCCTCTTGGTCTTCTTTTAATACTCACCCCACTTATAAATGAGCTTTCAACTGCTATACAAAGCAAGCTAAGGTGTAGCAAGAGTAAAAAAAAGAAAAATTAACGTGATTCCATCACCTTCCACTGTATCTCAGACATGCTTTCTAATCCCGTCATCTTATACAATATCATCCTATACAACCCCATCATTGCCCCTTCACCCACTTTGTTATCAGTCCTTCACTCAATGAGGATGCCTTCTACGACCATTATATCTGACACTAAACAAGTTGGAAGAATCCAAACAGAAATCAAAAGACAGAGTTATGGCTTGGGCAAAGGCTTGCAGTATAATGAGAAGTCCAGTGTTGTTAATTTAGTTGACACACCAGTCTGATAAACAGTGGACAAGAATAGAATAGTTCTTTCTTCAATAAAGCTTTGGGCTAGCTCTAATGGTGACAGGCTTTGCAAATTATGGCCTTGGCCACAAATCAAAGTGCAATCTTCATGTCTGCACAGAGTAGAAAGTTCTGGTGGCCACACATCCATCTTTGTAGGCACGCGGCATGTTCTGTGATCATCCACAAGTGATCAAGGATGAAGGACAGCGATGTAATTCTATTTGCAGCTCACTCTGCTTTCCCACTTACATTTTTGTCTCCTAATGCCATTGTAAAATGTAGATATGCAGGGGTCCGTGGAGCAGCCACCTCCTCCCAGTGAAAATTCCCAGCGAAATTTATTGCAGGAATGTGCTTCAACTTGCCTTAAGAGCATTTTTAAAGCATCTCTGCATAAAAGACTGCCTTAACTGAAATGGGTAATTAGTGCAGGGAAGGTAGAATTGTACATTAGACCCCATCAATCTACAACCTTTACGCTATACTTCATTACTTTGATGTTCACAGTGTTTATTTGCTAATAAACAAAAAGTACTTTTTCATCTTATTATCTGCCTCAGAAGATAATTGCCTAAAGAATTAGAAGTACAAAAAGATTTTCTTATGTATCATCCAGATCCCCCACTGATCCACTTCTGAAATACTGAATTAAGTGTCCCATTGACTACAGTGCCCCTGGCAACAGACTTCAGCTCAGAACCCAGCCAACCCCCACACACCATTGTTTCTCAGATCAAAAGTGTCACTGGTCTAAGGTTATATCCCTTACTGGGAAACACAGCTTTGAACAATTGGCTGTCAAGGTGTATAAAGTCCTGATCTTTCTGCCCTAAGTCTGGACAAGTCTGAAGAGTCCATCTATCTTCTGACTTCTCCACATGGTTCAAGCTTACATTTCAGCTATGCCACCTAGACTTCTTCCACCAAGTCTTTGCTGTTCTATTCCCTTTCTTGGTATTGATCTCAAGAACATTCCCTAATCAGCCTGCACACTGACCTCACCTCAGTCTGCTTTCCTAGGAACCTGACTCTCCTTACTCTCCTTTTTAAACGTGGAAAGAGGTGACTTAAAAGACCTGAACAGAAGAGTTGGGGAGATTGCTCAGTAGGTAGAGCACTTGCCTCACAAGCATAAGGGATCTGAGTATGGATCTCCAGCACTCATGTCATAAAACATTCGGGGATGGTTTTACATACATGTAACCCTAGCAGTGATTGGAGCTTGCTGCCAAGCTAGTCTAGCCAATCAGTAAGTATTGAGTACAGTGAAATACCCTACCCTATCCTAAGAGATACGGTGGACAATGATAGAAAAAAAAACCAAAAAACCCAATGATCTCTGGCCTCCACATTAGATGTGCACAGTGTGGATTGTGCATATGTTCACCTGGATGCTCACCTGCATACACATA